TTCGCATAAATCGTGTCGGCGCATAAGCGCGAACTCGTTGCGTGTCGGAGCGGAGTGTCGCCAGTGGCAGGGAACACGTGTAAAATCGAGCCGGAGAATGCGTGTACCGGCGGCGTTCGCGTCCTCGTGCACGTCGACCCCCCACGGACGCTTACAAATCAAAAATTAGATTCTGCCTGACCACGAGACGCCATGCCGACGAGGCTGAGGGACGAGAAGCGAGAAAAAACTCATTTATACGCGGCCCCGATAAATGACGGCCCCGAAACCCGACTACCTGTCGAACCTCGTAATTCGACCTGCGGGCCCCTCCAGCCCCCTCGCCTCTCCGAGAAAAATGTCGTCCTCGAGTGGGAATTTTTCAGGTACCAAAGCGACAAGCGTAAATCATACCCCCGGTTGTCCGTTTGCATTCCTCGGATCTTCCACATTTTATCAGGGCATCTGTTTCCCTCGAAGATTCCCTTCCTGCAACAACCCGCGCCCGTGTGTATACATTGTTGATCGAATTACCCCGGTAGACGGGGTGCGTGGGTGGAAGACGGGGCCCGGAGATACGGAAATGAGCCATCGGCGAAATTTAAATGCGAAAACGTTCGGGGCGTCCGGTCGACTTATAACTGGGTAACAATATCGAATTTATTAACCGGAGAAACCCGTCGAGTTCTACCGCGGGGTCGTTCCAGTAGGTTATCGCGAAAATATGGTCGGGTGGAACGAGTCCATCCGGTAGTTTTGTTATCGACTCGTTTGAATAAATACGATCCTCCAGCGCGTGGCCCCGCCAACATACTGCACGCGAGAGACGGCGCATTGTTGCGAATATAGTGCCATTTTTACGGTTCCCGAAATGCCCCGCAAGAACGGCGCATTACTTTTTCGTACCCTTGCCACTGCATAGAATGTAAATTGCAACTTGGTCCGAGTTAACGCCGCGATTCGCGTCCCACGGACATGTTTAGCCCCTGTCCCCGCTATATATTCCGTTTAAGGATGTTTGCGAAATTTCCCGGGTTTTAAAGAATCCGAGAAAGTCCCTCGAGACGTATTTTACGGATAAAGGCGGGGTAAACGGGAGATAAAATGTAGAGCAAAGTATATAAATGTAAGGGGTCGTAAATGTAAAGCGACGTGAAATATCCACGATATCGCGCGTCTCTGATCCTCGTAGTGGCCAATAGCCAATCGACACTCGGACAGACACTCGTGAAACGCTGAGACGATTGCGTATTGAAGCACCATTGAACGATCTTGCTGTGGGACAAACGTTGGTACAAACGGGATCCATTTTATTGGCAAACACTGTGCGTCCATCTTCGCGATCGAAGAAATAAGTGGCGCTTTATGGTCGCTATTTCGAGATTATTGGTCGTTACGGGGAAAGATACTTGCACGAGGATCGACAGCCCGCGGATTATTCCGCACTCGGTGATAGGCGACAGTCGTAGCTCGCGGAATATTCCGCGCTCAGTGATAGGCGACAGTCATAGCTCGCGGATTATTCCGCGCTCGGTGATAGGTGACCGTCATAGCTCGCGGATTATTCCGCGCTTGGATGCAAATGGGCTTATTATATTACTTTATCATCTCTCTCTCTCTCTCTCTAACATGTAACTATCGAATCACAGAAAAAGGGATACACGAGACAAGCGAATAACCCGAAACGATGGATCCGTCATATCGAACTACCCTTGGGTTACGTAACGGGGAGAAAACCGATTCACGTCGCCTGGAACGATGGATGGGTAACGACGAAAAAGATCTCGTGGTCTTAGGAATCAAAAAGTTCGATGGTCGAGTGGGTCCGTTGAGTTTGACGCGAAATCGACAGGCGTACAAAGGGTCGAAAACACCGACAGAAAGCGTGTCCCTTCTCGTACGCTTGATTCGTTTCTGACAGGGAATCCGAGATGAGGGACGTTCCCAAATCGAAACGGTTCTTTTTTCCCTTTTTCCCCCGATTTTTTCTCCTCCTTTTTCGTTTGTTTCCCGGGGCCGAAACAACGTTGTAACCCGACGCATAGCTAAGCGGTTCGCGCGGCTCCAAGTGAAGAGGAATTATCCTAGGTGACCAAGCTCTGCCGGGAGATGATTGATAACTCTGTTGTAAGGCGTTATCAGCCGTGGCGTGCACGTTGTTATGTTCCCGTCAAAAACGTGACACTGATAGACGGGCTGCTCTCGTCTCCTCTTCGTCCTCCACGCTCGCCGTGCCTCTTCGTTTCCTCGTCGCTCCGCGTGCTTCCATGCGACCTGTTAATTCAAACTTACACGCTCGCGTGTTAACCTCCCGGTCCTCTTCTCTCTTCCTGCCTCTTTTTTCATTTTTCTCCCCCGGTTCGACGTTCTTTCTCCGTGTCTCTCCTCCGATTTCACACCGGTGCCCCGTGAACAGACGTAGCCGAAATTGATTCGTATTAAAAGAAACAAAAATCCGCTGTTCTTTATCGGTTAAATTAAACGTCGCGGGTAATCGCAAACTCGAGCGTGTCCAGAGTTAATAGATTCAGCGTGTCGCCCGACGACCTCGATGATTGATCGCTATCCGAGCATGGTCCAGGCGCAATTCATCAAACTCGTTTCAAAGTCATCCTTCGGGAGTCCGCGGAGGAAACGAGGTCGAGACACCGGACAAAGGGCCAAAGACTGTTGGCGAACGGTTCCCAAACAGGCGACGTGAATGGGGCACGACTCCGAGCGTTGCCTCGGACGGTCGACAGTCACGAACGGAGCAGGACTTAGGCTAGGTGATTTCTCAGGGTCGAGCGCCAGCAGCGGATTACAAGCGCCCCTCTTTTCCTCTCCAGCGAACCCTTTCGTGTTCCCTTCTGTCGCGAACAATCGGTACATCGACGGGTTCAAACACCCGTGCGTTTCTGCACCATGCGACAAATACAATAAACAGGGGGCACAATAACGCCTCTATCCACGCTTGTATCGTTCCTCCGCTTACGCGTGTCGTGCCACCAGACCTCGTAACTGGTCCCAAGGCTTTTCCGTATTTTTCATCGCTAAACGATCGAAAAATCCCGTCTCGTATGAATTTAATAACGACTCGTTCGAAGTAACGCGTGCAATTCGTTGCCCATTGGAAGATTCAAGGATCAGTCGAAGTAGTTGATTTTCCTCGCGATATAGAGACGTTGCTACTTGAAAAATCTACCATCTCGATCATTCTGCACGATGCAACAAATAGAATAAACAGGGGGCACAATAGCGTCTCTATTCACGGTTGTATCGATCCTCTGCTTACGGTTTCGCGTGTCGTGCCATAGTTGTAACAGGTTCCGAGACTTTTCCGTATTTTTCATCGATAAACGATCGAAAAATCCCGTCTCGTATGAATTTAATAACGACTCGTTCGATAACACCATCCTGGGATCTCTCACGATTTAAAGTAACTCGTGCAATCGTTGCCCATTGGATGATTCAAGGATCAGGCGAGGTGGTTGATTTTTCTCGCGATATAGAGACGTTGCGACTTGAAAAATCTACCATCTCGATCATTCTTGCGCGCTAATCGGCTATCCGAACCGTCCACAGAATATTACCAGCAAGGAACGAGACGCGTCCTGTGCATACGTAAATAAAAGTCGGTCTTTCTTAATAACCAGTCCGATAAGATCGTCGATTACCTCGAGTAAGCAATCCCATTGCCACGTAAAAGGAGCCAAAGAGGATTTCCCTTCGTCTCCTCTCCACCGTGGTTGTCGCCGATCTCTCGCGCTCCTTCCTGACTAAATTACATCTTCTCTCCTATTTACGAGCGCGCTGGCAGTAAAGCTGACCGCGGCGACTCGTTCCGCGGAAAACGCTCCCGATTAAGCCTGTAAATTAGGAATCCGGCAGAAACGTTTCATTAAAGGATTAAGATATCTCGTGGAATCGGCGGAGGCTCGCTAATGAGCACGCCGAAGGGAATAATCGTCGCGGACTCGTATTCGACGACCGGTTGCAAGCGGGAGACCTCGAGACTCGGGAGCTGCGAGAATCGGGGGACGAATGGTCTTGAAAACTGGTTAAATCGTCGCGACTTCTTCGCTCCTTCGCGAGGTTGAGGCCGTTTCGCTCGGTGGAAAATCGTGGAAAAGGATAGCGAGGAAGATCGGTTGCTACGCCTAAGCAAACCGGCAGGCACTGTGGACGGGACGAATACTCGATTACCCTTGCACCCTGGACGATCTCGGCGGCTTTCAGTGCGCTTTAAAGCCAGTCCGAGTTCCTAGATTACGTCCTCGCGCACGATAATTTCGCGTCTCGTTACTCGACTGGAAGGAGCTTCCAGCAGAGCGGACCGAAAAGCGAAGCAGACCTACGCACGTTGGTAGGTGTGCCGCAGAAATAATAGCTAAGCTCGCGTAATAAAGCTACGGGTGTCCCGCTGGGCGGAAACCGGACGCGGCAAGCGCGACCGCGGACCAATTATGGCGGTTCACGCGCAGCCGCGAACGTAACACGCGAGCCACCGTCGGCTAATTTATTCGAAACCGTCCACCGCGGGGAATTCGCAGGACGAGGTATGAAAACGTTGCTCGATGCTGCGCCGATCGGGTTCGCCAGATACCGTGTGGCGTGACCACGCGAAACTTCTGACGCTGGTTAAATAGCTTTTGCTCCGTGGAGAACGGAAAAAGATCACGGGGAACTTTCACGGGCTATGACTTGGTCGATAAGAAGCTAGAGGAAAAGACAGGGACTCGGGTTCAAAGCGGAACGGGTAACGGCGACACTCGCGATGCCAGGGGTAAAAAGAGTAGGAGGTTGATGGAAGCGAAAAGGCTACTAAATGTCGACGCTTTTAAAGCTGTTTGCGCTGGGATAGAGTCATCGACGAGACCGCTGGTCCCCCCGTGAAGTACCTTCTTACACCGTCGTTTAACGTTTCTGCGTAGCCGCAAAGAATCGATGGCGGATCGTTACGGTTCGATGCCGCGACAGAATCGACTTCGGAGTGTTTACAGTGGCCGCCGTCTAATCGCTGTTCTTCCCTCTTTTTGCAGAAGCTCCTGGCGAACTTGGATGGGTGCTGACTCTAGTGATAGTGTCCCTAGTATCCGCTGGCATCGGCGCCGTGGTCATGGTGACGCTTCTTCACTGTCGAAGGTGAGTACGACACCGTGCATTCCCGTACGTTAGGGTACCTGGATCAAGCGAGACGATAAATCCCGATAAGACGAATCGGTTGCACGCGAGCGTGAACTTTGGACCGTGGTTCCGGCGGTTTCAATCAGCCCGCTGGACAGAGGGAAAGAATTTATCCGGTCGATCGTGGAATTTCGAATTGAAATATGAGAACGTAAACACCTGCGCGCCCGGTTTCCGTGAGATTGCCTTCGAAATCCATACAAAGAGGAAGGAGCAACGACGAGCCCCGATACGGATCGGCGATCAGGTAGATTCGCGAAACGATCGCGGTTTTGCTCTCGGCTCGAATCCAGTTGGCCGATCGATTCTCCCTTAAATTACCACCTACCCGCAATGCTTCAAAATCGAGAGAACCGAGCCGTAATAAGGAGGGTGAACCGGTTGCTAACTAGATCGGGCCGATTTGAATGCGAACGTCTGCGACAGGGCAAAAAGTACCGGGAGGAAATCGGTGGAAAAAAGGTAGGTGTTAGAGAACGGAGGGACAATCGTAACTGCTCGACGACGCTTTCGTTCCAGCATGACGAGAGATCGAGTCGTCTTTATAGCGAGCCATTTCCTGCCACGCTCGAGACAAAGACTACCATTCCACGCGAATTTCATTTTTTACCAACGCTCGCGTCGTGACTTTAATTGCCTTTTGCTGAACGCCGGCTTCAATGGCGGATAATTCCTCCGTCCCAGTGTGTCTGCATCGTGCCGGTTTCTTCTTGCGCCCGAGCGTTTTAACCCCGAAAATAAGAATCGAGAAAATTACGAGTGAACTATCGGTAATTGATTACTCCGTGAGCTTTAATCAGACGGTTATGGTTCTTTCCCCGGTTCTTTTCCCCGGTCGTGGACGATGTGTGCTTCGTTTTTAATGGGAACCTTTGTTTTTCTCTGTTGCAGATTAAAAAGCGCTGGTGGCAGAGGTAAGAAGGTTCTCATACCCCAGTATAATTAGTATACGATCAAACTATGTATAAATTCCGAGCACTCGCAGTTGTTAAACGCTCGCGTATACGTGCAGCAACGGCTGCAATCCCGGTAACGATGATCCTTTAATTCCTCGCGCATAAAGCTCGATTTAAAATTGACCACGATCAGCGGAGCTCCTTTCCGATGAAAAATAATTCCCGATTTATCCGAAGCCTGGCTTAACCTCCGATACGTCCAAATAATTACACCTCGGGCAGGGAAAATTAGTATAATAAACATAGCAAATGCCCCTAATTATAGTTACGGTTATGCCCAGTCCCGACAGTTCAAAGCCATTCGCAATTACTCCAATCCCTACGCAGGATATCAATTCAATGTTCTACCCGTTCTCCGCTTCCGTACCTTGTCATTAAAATATGATATCCTCCTAATAATTCCTTCTATTCCCCTTTGTGAACGCTCTATGAAACCTTATCTGCATCGAAGGAAACCTAGCCACGTGTGCAGCGCGATCGTCAAAGGGGTCGGAAGAGTCTGTCGAGAAAAGAGTCATGGCTACCCTACGCCTGTCACGACGTATATCATCGCAACGTGATTAGTTCCGTGTACGATTGCACGTGAAAAGAGAATAATATCGGCGAGAATCCTCTGAGAGGAATGCGAACGAACGAATCGATCCGATTCCCCTCGAGTAACACGGACGGATCTCGAAAGGTATCGGCCTGTTCTCCCCGTTTCCTCGTTTCAAGGCTCGCAGACGTACATCCGGATGTCCCCGTCCGTCGAAGGAGAGACACACGGGCCTCACAGCCGCGCCAGACGTACGGCGTCGATTGGTGCAAACGAGAAGCATAGTAGAGCCGTGGCGTCGAGTGTCAGGCCCGATTGGAGTTTAATTAGTTCGCATAATGAAGGCCGGCTCACGGCGGTATATTCCGGCCGAGGCTACCGAGGCAGCACTCGTGCTACCGCTACTGCTGCTGCTGTTGCTGCTCTCTCGTGCACACGTAAAGGGTAGCGAAGCTGCGCGACGGACGGGCGACATAAAGGACAGTGAAACGCGTCTAATTAACTTTCTGATTTAAAATCACCCGCGGCACGATACGATCAACGAACGAACCGGCTACGAGCCCCGGCTCGGAGAAGGCTGGAAGGATGAACGGAGACGGGAACCGGGGCAAATAGAAGGAGAAAGGGCAGGTTACTGCCGACCAGGGATACAAGGGTCACCCGAATTAATTATCCGACACTCGTTTTACTGAACCTCCTTGGACTCCGTCGTCGTTCTTCACCGATCCACGATTTGCTTCTTAAGTGCCCTTCACACCGGCACGTCGTGATCACTCGGGGGCAGTGTAACGCTGTCTACCAGTGGCGCCAAAGGCGTCTACCGTGGAGAAATTGATTAGCCCTCTCTGAGATAATGATTGCCGCCCCGGTACTGAAATCCAGTGCACGATTAACATTTAGACGAGTAATTAATCGAGAGGTTAGGCCTCGGCTAATTAAACATAAACGGACAGGGATGAGGAGTTCTGCGCGGGTTTCGCGGAAGGGGTAGTGGCGCGAGATCTTAAAGCTATTCGAATTACGCGGGAGATCCTAATGTAGCGACCATCGTTCTCACCCTCGCTGCTAGATGCATTCCAACTTTGAAGAAGTTCGAGGGCTTTCTCGCAAGTACTCGGTGAACCCTCGACCTCCCTTAACACTAAAGCTACTAATCTTTAGTGGGCACCTAACTATAACGTGCACAGATTATAGTCATTTTAAGCGGTACAGTGAATATGAGTGAATATATCGATTATAGTTCTTTCTTAATACGAGTTGATACCAATTTTATTCTTAAATCAGGTATATGTGTTCGGTGATTGCAAAAAGGAAAATTCTCGGACCAGTCACTGCTATACTTGTATTTCGTCACTAGGTCGTTCTTGCTTGACGACAATTAGTGACGAACGGCTCTTTGAGGAGATTGTGTTTGACTTCGAATAGTAAGTGGACTGTGTCGTTATTTTGATATTGTGTTGTTTTATATGCCGCGTGCTACTAGGTCTAGCATTTACATGGGTTGTAAGTGGACTGTGTCGTTATTTTGATATTGTGTTGTTTTATATGCCGCGTGCTACTAGGTCTATCATTTACATGGGCCCTTAGTAGGACTGTATTTAGACTGGGTTGGTAGTTCTAGTGTTAAATAGAAGTTCCTCTGTCACCTAAGTATCTCTACTAAGTAGCCTTACTGATGGACCCACTAACAGACCCGGGACGAAATTGCATCCTTTCCTGTTCCTCTCGTCCCTTCTACCACCACCGCCACATAGAGGATACCTGCGACTAGCCGACTTCGCGACAGTGAGGGCAGGACCACTCCTTACAGTAAAATCCTCTAAAATCGCGTTACGATCTGGCGAGAATCTGTGCTCCAGGAAGTGTTGTTCCTTTTACGCAAGTCGGGGGAATGATGTCTCCCATCGTCTTCCTCTTCCTCGATTTCTATTAATTACGTTAAAATCGCAACGATTGTAGGAAGACTATGTTCAGCAGTAGTTGGTCCGTGGTCCATGTAAACTTGTCAGCGTAGAAATTATAGCTGTACTCGAATATGGGTGTAATTGGAATTTCTACCGTAAGGGGGTAGACCAGAAGTGACTTGGTTGAATAGCCGCGCGCGCGGTGATGTAGCCGCGGCGGGCAATTTCATAGGAGGAGAAAAGGGAAGAGGAGGAAAAAAAGGAGGAATTAATGAAACATCGTTGAAGTGTACAACCGTGCGTAAGAATCGCCGCGAATGCCAGCGGACAAGAGAGGCGTTAATGGACGGCTGAAAGGGGCTGTTGCGCAAAAAAGACGAGAGCCCGTACACGTTAGGTTCCCGTACGATCGACGCGACACAATGGCGATTCGAGAGCCAGGTAGAATAGGTGAATCGAATGCGTTAATCGGCTTATCGCGCGTTCCACCACTCGATACGCCGAATCAGCTGCTGCTGCTCCATCCAAAAGTCCACGACAACGATCACGCGAACTCGTTTAAAGGATTTCGCGTATTTTCTTTGCGGATTTTGTTCTCCAAAGAATATCCATTTCCATTATTTTTCGTTTCTTTCTTTTTCTGAGTCGGAATCGGAAGATTTACTACAGGCGCGCGTGCATCTTCGCGACGAGTGTTTAAGAATTGGAAATCACTCGCGGGGGAACCCGCTGAAAACGATGACGCCTCTGTCGTACGAGGAATCGTGTGAATGGTCGTGCTTCGTGAATACTTTTCTCACATGAGTGAAAATCTTTCTGACACGATGACGCGCGCGGAGGAATCACGGAGCATGAAGGGAACATCAAACAGAACCGTGTATCCACGGGCCCTAACGAGCACGCACGGCTGACGGGAAATAGAATCCGGGGCTATAGACGTTCGAATCTACTAGATCGTGAGGAGAACATTTGCCCCCTGCTGTCACGACACGGCACGATTTTCACGCGTCCCGGTTGCCGGGCTAATGCATCCGTCGACCAATTAATATTCGAACCATCTGATCCGGTAAATCACGCGGGTTAACGCGTCCACGGAAGGGCGAGTCGAAGCGACAGCGTGGAAAAGAAACGGATCCGATTACCTCACCTCGCCAGCTAGGTGGGAAGTATAGAGCGTAATCAGCCGATGGGACCGTGCGAGACGTGCACCGTGAGTTTCGTGCGTGGTTTCTCATCCCCGGGGGTGGCACGGTGCCGTGGAGCCGAGAAGGAGGACGAAGAAATCTTTGTGACAGTTGGACGTTCAATTATAAGCACGGGCACCGATCCACGGACGACGACGTGGCCCGAGTGGCGAGCCGATAAATCGACACCGCTTTATTTACGATAGCAATAAACGGCTTAACGCTTGCCGCGGAATGCTAAATTGCTGTTCCATCTGTGCGTGCGCCAACTGAATGCCGGGGACCGCGTTCGACGATAAATAACGCGATTACCGCACGCTCGTCGACGTAATCGATTGCACTCGGATTTCTAGGCACTCGCCTCGCAAATGAAGTCGCGCGCGCCTATCCTCGTGGTTGATGGAGCACCCGGCTCCGTGAGTGGCTCGTAATGAATGGAAGGTTGATTAGGGTCGCGGGGAAGGGTGTCCGCGGCAATTGAAATCTTTGAAACGCTCGAAAGCTGCGAGTAATTGGTCCCGATCGAGCAGGTTCACCGTTTATCCCTTTGTAAAGGAAGCAACGAACAATTTTCCTCGCATAATGCAAGACAAATCTGCTATTGCCCGTCGGCTTGTCGGATGGTTAGATGAAAATGTTGAAACCGTCGATGAACCGATAATGCGGCGACGCTGCTGTTAAAATACATTAACCGCCGCGTCGAAAGAGTTTGCGCGAGAGGCCCGAGTATTCGCGTCTCCCATTACCAGGTAATCTCGTGGCCGATGCATAGATGCTAATTATGTAAATTACAGTGTAACGGCTTGTTATAAATATCCAGGAACGGCGGCCGCAAAAAGGAAGAATTAAGTTTCACCTCGGGTACGTCACCCTGCTTTTCATTCTGGAACGTTGGAGTGCATCAGCGATTATCCTCGCGAGCTGCAGCTTCTCGGAAGAAGAAGAAAATAGCGTCTAGACGAGAGCCACGAAGAGGAGATTATACCCGTTGCACGGGCACACACGCGTGCGTGTCGGTGGTGTGTAAGGGCACCGCGATAAACGAGAACCAGTCTCTGTATCTCCTGGCAAGTGACAGCCGCCAAGGCGCGTTGCGACGCGCGACTCCGCTCCGCGACTCCGCGCGGTTCACGACGACGAAAACCACCGGGGAACGGCCAACGACAACGATGACGACCACGATGACGACCACGATGACGACCACGACAACCAGAGAAGAGTGTCTCCTACGTGCGTAGGTTATGAGTCGCACCGTCGCGAAACAGGGACGCGACCATGGGATTCCCATAATCTCGTTTTTTTTCTCCCTTGGCATTCTCATGCCCACTTACCGCGAGGCGGCGCTTCTGATCTATGAATTCCGAATTCCTTTTTTTCCCTGCCCCTTCCTTCCTCCTTCTGCCTTGATTCCTCCACCCGCCCCTGCTCTATCTCTCTTACCATCCACCCCAAACTCTGCCGCGTTTCTATGAGCGCCATGACAGCACGATGACGGGCGCACAATGAGGCCATACAGAAAACAGCCGCTTTTTTCCTCCCTCTCTCCCCATACGCGAGCTCATGTCATAATGCGGTGATTCGGGTCCGCGTATACACGTATACCTGTAATATATCTATGCACGCGACCCTGTGCGTCTGTGCGTATATACGTGTGCATGCACACGCCGAGTGCGTGTAACGTAACAGGATTCTGTCCAAGCTCACCTGGCACTTCACGAGCTTCATCTCGTGATTCGTGTCCCACTGGGCCCCGACCCCCCTACTCAACGGTGAAACTCGAGCGCGACTTTCGTTCACGATCCTTGCCAACGGATTTTCCAAGGGACCAAGCCTCACGTGGGACCTATTTTTTCTTTGTTTCTGTTCCAGCGAATTGCTGCAGCGTCGGCGTCGAGGACTCGAACGCTCAAGAAGCCGGCGGCCCAGGTGGTGGAGGCGGAGCTGGCGGTGGAGTGGCCGTTATACCCGACCGGCCGCCTCTTGAACTGGATAAGCTACCACCTTATCACGACGTCGCTCCCAGCCCTGGTACGTATCCCTGCGAACCGTTAATCAAAGTATCGTTACACCGGTACCCCGACGAATATTCCGCAACGTGGTTGCCACGGGTACCTCCCTCCCTGCCCCCCGTGTGGTATATACACGTACCCGGGATGCTCGGGATATCGGTACCGGGATAATTGACGTAAAGCAAATGAGAAGTACGCGACTTGTACGGGTTCGTGTGATGTGATTCAAGGGCACAATGTGTGGTCGTGGTTAGGCTCGCGACGCGGCGGCGGTACACCGGGAGTCGTCACGACGCCTCTGTCGCTTCCGCAACACAGACGGGCGATGAATCTCCCGGTGGAGAACCACTACACCCACATGCAAACGGACGAGGCGCTCTACGCAGAACTGGACTCTCAGGCCGCGAGCTACGCGAGCGATCTGCAGCTACAAATGAGAGGAAGCTCGACGTACGGTACAACTTCCGGCGGCCAAGACGACGAATACCACGAGTTAGATGCCGCGAGGTTACATCGTCATTACGGTGGAAGCAACGGGGACGGATCTTTGCAGAGGGACACGCTTCGTACGCGCCACAGTAAAAGGTAAATTAATCCCTGTAATTAAGTTTTTCACCGAGTAACTCCCCGAGCTGTTATGCTCCTCGAGGTTGTTTTCCATCGGCAATGACCGCGCCGGAACACGCCCTCATGAATCTTTGAGGCATTACTCTTTAATAATTTCAATCCCTGGACGGTAGCTAGCCTTTCTTTCCCTTAATTGTTTTGCGCATTAAAGCGCTGCTATCGGTAATTGATTGCCTACTGATAATATACTATTTAACCGGGCCTGTTCTATTACCGTTGACCACAACATCGTAGAATAGTTACGGCTACCTGAAGAGATTGCTAGAACTTGCCACGTTTAAGTATCACGATTCTCTTTTACGAAGACCTATTAAATTCCTAGCTTTTCATGACTGTTTCTATCCTCCTTTCTTCTTTTTCCATTTCTTTTTTTTTTTTTTTTTTTTT